TTGCAATTCCCTTCTCGTGAGTGACTCTTTGTCATTCCGTTAGATTTGCTTAAAAATTTTACAAGTACTCACTAAACTTCTCACTAGTGGAGGATAAACAAAAGTTTGGATGAGTGTTCTTACTTTAGCCGATTTTCATAGATTCGCTCCTTCTCGGTTAAGAAACATGGATACAGTCCTGGTGAGAACAAGAGCTCAATATGGAAACGCTCCGTACCAGTTGCAGTACTATCAGTTCGACTATCCTCGTATACCATCAGGACCACCTTGAGTACAAACAGTTTATTGTTTCAGATATAATGGATATTAATTTGAGATTCATAATTGAAAAAATGCAAAAAAAGACTACGGGAAGTCAGGTCCTTATGTTTATCAAAAATAGCAGCAGAATGGTTCTAGAAAACAGAGAGAAAGAAAAAATCCCCCGTATGTATCAAACTCAACTCGAGAGATACACTACAACTAGTGAAGATTTGAAATTTTTTGGTGTTCATTCAAAAGAGCATGACTGATGGCTTACCTGTGTCATGTAGTTGAATTCAGTGACACCAGAGAGAAAGTTCATAGCACGTTGCCATTTTTTGTCATCAACCTGAGCACAACGTATTTAGAACCACATCCCAGAGCAGTTTTATCGCAACAAATCAAATTTTCTCAACTTCAAGTTATTCAGCATTAACAGATAATCGTCACACAAATCACGCAGATTCAATAAAGATCAAAGGAAAATAAAATGCAAAAACCATAAAATGATGCAATGACATTACTCCAACTCACGGAACAAAGTCCACCGTATCGAATGAGATTCATTAGAGTGTGAATGTGACTTTCACTGGTGAAATACAGCCTGGTACGTACGTGACGAAGTGGAGTGGCAATGCCCTCAGAAGCTCTAAAATCACCGCATACTCAGTAGAACAGGAAAACATCAAATGAGAAACAAAGAGATGACGGAAAGGGAAATGAAAACAGCACCTTGGGTCGAGCCTCGTCTGACTCTCGTCCTCTTCAGAACACTCAATACATCTATGTAAGATCATTTCGGATCTTCTTCAACAAAGGTGTGCAAACACGTTGAGCAACACATATTTTGTTTTCCTTACGAATGCCGTATTCCTTGAAAATGACAGAGAAAATAAGTATTGTCTACCGAATTCGGTGGTCAAAACAAAGGAGCTCTGCATCGTTGTTGGACTTTGCGGTAAAATGAAAACTATCAAAGCAGTGAATAACGTATGCATACCTGCGGTACAACAATATCAGCCATATTCTTTACACATACATACATCCTTTCGAATTCGCCTTCATTGTCGACACAAAGATCAGGATTATGTTCCATGTCATACTAAAATAGAAATCCTATTCATTCATGAAATTAGTCGAAATATCGCAGGTGTTATATATCAGGGATATTTTGAGCTAAGTGTTCTGAAACGCACCTTTATATTATCGTAGATATCTGGGATTTTTGAGATGTCATACTCCACATCGCCACCTTTGTTCTCTCGTCTGAATTCCCGCAGCTCCTTTCCCCATCGTC